GACCTGATCCTGGCATGCAGGGTTCTCTCTAGCCTGTTGACTGGCCCTGCACCATGCATCTGGCTTATGGGACCAAAACGCAAGCATCACAGACCTAACCAATCCACCCCAAAATCAAGCCCAAAATTGTTAGTGCAGAAAGTCTTTCTCTGTATATCATGGGTTTGGTTTGTTTAGAAGGAAAGGGGAGATGGGAATGCTTACAAGTTGGTTTACTTGCTATCTAAAAAAAATGTGTGTGTGGGAGGGGGGTGAGACCCCCACTCTTCAGTTACAATTATATTGTATATCAAATGTCCTTAGTACAAAGCAGCCCAACATTTGGAAATGTTTTATGTATGCTGTATAACTGATGTTGGGAGCAGGTTGCTTTCAGTAGGGGGGCGGACTTTGACAGGGAGTTTACTTCTGTCTATTTAAACTTGAGTGAAGTGATCTTTTGGGGCAAAGTGTAAGTAACCCTTCTTTACTCTCAGGTCTATTAAACTTTTAAGGGAAATAATAGGTATTTGAGTTGTGTCATCTTTTATGGATGGGTCGCTTGTCAGTTGTTTCTCTAGTGTTTTCCTTTTAAAAGCTGTTTATGCACCATGGCAGACTGGATAGATCAGATGTTTTCTTCTGAAATGTTTTTGTTGAAAAAACTGCCTCTCCCCATAAGTACAAAATGCGTGACAAAGATCTTTCCCTTACTGTAAACTGTGGCACAAAAGACAAATGTTTATTATATAGTTGCCTGCAAATGCAGATGACTAGAATCCACAGCCCAGGTGGTCTCTAAAATTACAGCCTAAACTCTCATTAACAATCCTTCAATATCCATGGGAGACAGATGAGCAAGTATTACTGATCACAGAGGATCATGTACAGTGACCAGCATTACCAACGAGATCACATTGCCTCTATCCACCAATACAGCAGAAAAAGCACGTGAATAAGAGTGTGTGTGTAGAGCTTTTCTTTCTCTCTCATTACAGTGCCCTCTTTTCTGATTTCAGCTATAAGTGAAAAACAGTTGTCAGAAAAGATGCTATCTCACCATTGCTTCCAGTCATAACAGAAAGGTCAAGATCCCAGATAACTTTGTAAAACTATTTCTCTCCCTTCCCCCTAGCTTCTGACTAAAATTTTCCTACTGCCCCAATGGAAGTAAAATTTTATTTATAATTCAGCTGACAGGAAAGTGCAACATGATGTAAGGGGGGGCAGTTTACAGCTTTTGGAAGAAGACCTGACCTAACTCTGTTTGCTGCAGGCCATCACTCTGTGTCGCACCAAGATAGGTTTCACGTGCTACCAGCTATAAGATAGCTTATGTTACAGGTCTGGAAATGAGATGCAATACCTTCATCCTAGTTTCCTGAATGATACAGGTTGATTCAGAGTTGTGACCTAATGCTAGCAGAAGCAAACTGAAGAATTTGGGGTGAAATGCTGGCCTCATTGGCTTCAACGGGCATTTTGCAACCAGTAATATTTGAGTGGGGTGCTTGATGTCCATTGATGCTGATGTAGGATCACAGCTGTCAAGCACCTTTGAAAATCAGAATACAAACATTTAACATAAATCCCCCCCAATTTCTGCCTTAATGGCGTGGATCATTTTATACATAGCCAACAATGCCATTACATCCAGTGCCACAAAATTTGTACTTCTCATTCCCTTGTCCACTTCTAAAAGGTATTCTTAACCTAAAGATATTTGTCATTATTACAAATGTCTTTATAAATGCTAAAAGTTGTTTCCTGTTCAGTGAAAAGTATTTTCTTATGTCTTTTCTCCCAATAGAAAGCTATTTCATCTCCAACTGTATCGCGCCTTACAGACACAACAAAATTCACGGGTTCCCACAAAGAGAGGTTTGATCCCAGCGGGAAAGGAAAAGGCAAAGCAGGACGAGAAGACCTCGTCGACTCTTCGGGATATGTATCTGGGTATAAGCATGCAGGCACATATGATCATAAAGTACAAGGAAGCAAGTAAGCCTGGGTTAAAAACCTGAGAGAGAATATACCTGTAAGAATGATGTAGATGAATCCCACATGATTCAGTTATCGTGAATGCTAAGACTATGTTGTCAAGACGTGTTTTCAGGAACTGGAACTGATTTCAACATCTGCTGAGATATTTGCAGCACAGCACCACTTCATTACATTCCTCATGCTTACATTGGCCAAAAAAACCCCAAAACAAACCCCGTAAATAAAAGGTAACACAAAAGTTGTTGAGCTTTAGACAAGAAACCAAAAGCAAGGGCTGTTATTCCACACCTTGTCAATACTAGCAAAAGATCTGCAAACATTCCTAAATGTCCAGTTTGTTCTTGGGTGTAGAAGACAACCTCTTTCCAGGTAAGTGGGAAGGAGAGTCTTGTGATAGCAGCCTTTCTGAAGAGAATATCCAGATATTTATGCTTTTTGATTTGACTACTTATTTATTTGTAAAGGTGTCTTAAAAGGGACCTTGCACTGCCCTCAAAGACACAAATTCAGCATTGTACTAATGGGAAATAAATGGCTGGAATATACAAGGTGCTATCATGAAAATCAAATTCCTACACCATTTGTGAACAGCAAAAAAAGGACTTCTTTACTTCTGACTGAGACAATTTAGGCTCCAATTTATTTGTGTCAGCAGAAAGATGTGGAAGATACCAGCCCTCATTTCCCCACCCCTCAAAAAATACCCATAGACAAACAGACTTCTCAGAGCCAATACTGTACTTCTTGCAAATTACCACGCATACCGGTAGCATGGTTCTGACTGACATACAGGACCTGGATGGAGCTAACATACTAATATGAGATGTAAAAAGACTAGGCATTACTAAGGAAGTCTTGATGGATATATTAATATTGTTTGCAATCTGTTTTTAGTTTTGCACTGCCTCTTGAGTGAAGCGCAGGGGGCATTAAGTTGAGATACTTTGTAAATGAGAAATATGAACTAAATACCACTGAGGAGATTTTCATTAAGTTTGATGCATATTCTCATGAACAGGTAGACATGCCCAGGGACACACACTCTCTTTAAGTCGGACCAGATTTAAGAAAGTCCGTGGTCACTCTGAAATACCCCAAAGATGCTTATCACATAGTCGTATAAGTGTAACCCACCACTAAGGCTAGTTATGTGATTTGCTAGTATCCGTGTTTGAAGCAAAGAGGCTTGATTCTCCCCCCACTGACCCTGCCAGTGCCAAGCAGGACTAATTCCACCAAAGGCAATGGATTTCCACGGCTATGAGAGGAGAGTGCAGTTCTCTGTCTGAAAAATTTTATAAACAGGCTGCTGAGTACCAACCCATCTAGGCCCAGTGTAATAAGTGGTGGTCCTTTGATTAAAAGTGGCTCCTTCTATGTCACTTAGTTTGCTGTTCTTTGTATTCTAAGCCATATTGGCTCTTGAAATTTCCATAGAACAGAACAAGCGCTAGATTTTCTCAGACTGCTGATACAAAATGATAAAAAAATCCAGTTAGGTTGGCTATTTAGAAATGCCAGGTTAAAGTTCTGCTTTGCTTTCTATGAAACAGAGTTCAGACATCGGCTTTAATGTAGAATAAAGGTTAATCTACTATACTGCCTCTTTTTTATCACGATCCCATGCAGGGTTCTACTGTGCCCTAAATAAATAGCTTTCTTTAGTGAGTTATATGCACTAACCTCATCTAACTCCTCATGCAGGGCAACACTCTGTACTTGGCATATGTCCAGAAACTGAACACTAGTTTTCAACCCTTCAACAGCCTGTTTTTTGTTTTCTGCTGACATTCAATGGAAGCTTTTCTTGTAACTTTGCCTCCCATGACCCTTTCAGCCAATGCATTGACGGGAAACCAAAACAACAATAATAAACACAGGGAAAGAACTTCCTCATGGGCTTGGAGATTCTGTGTTTTGCTTTTTGTTTGTGGTTTGTTTTGATTTTTAGTTTGGAGGAGAGGAGGGAGTTTGCCAAAACTAACACGTGGTTTTTCACCATTGGGTTTTTTCCTCTGGTGGCTCTGGTTACCTGATACAATTTTACACACACACCAGGCTGTCAGCCTGGAAAGATTTATGTTTGTGAAGAGATTTCCAAGTGCTTCAGAGCTTTACCCACGTTTGCCAAATAATCCAATTCCTGAAAAAGGAAGAATTATCCACTTGATATCTCGTACTGGCTACCTGCCATCCCTTTCAAAGCTGGATAATAACTTTCAGCCATGTTCTGGTACATGGGATTGCTAAATTATACCAAAGAGCAGTGGAGGGCAGAAAAATGTAGGAAGTTCATTCCTTCTCAAAATACAGCATTGAAACTATACATCTGGGCAGTCTTTGAGGACATCTGTTTTTATTACCACGAGCAGAAGGCTAATGAACCTTGAATTGGATTACGGGTACCATAGTACAGAAGCTGAATCTTCTTACCATTGACATGAGCACTTGGAGCCTGATGCAGTTAAGCAGGTTTGGGTCAGATCCAAAGCAGAGACAGCATCCTGCATGTCATTGAATCCTTGGAGCATTACTAGCAAACTACCGGTACCTTATTCAGTACACCAGGCAATCCCAGCTCCCATGGGCTGAAGCGTTGAGAGTGTTTTGATGGTGATGAAATACTAATGATCCCTGAGGTGGGTCAGTGCTCCAAAAGTTGTTGCCCTGCTCTGTGGCCATACAGATGATGTGGCAAAGCTTTCAGGGAAGAGATTGAAACTCACTGCTGTGGGCAAGTGAAAGGCCACAGACAGAGAAGGGCCTGAGTACAGAGGAGGCTCTGTGTTTAGAGTGGGTGCTAGTCTTACTTCCATGCGCTGATGTTGAGAAGAGATGCTTAATGACTGCTTGTCTCCCAGATGTGGGTTTGATGGTATCAGCCCAGGTGTAGCCAGAGATATTGCCTGTTACTTCTGTTTTTAGAGGTCCTCTAAAAACAAAAATGTTCCCTGAGTGTCTGAATTATAGCTCTGAGAAATCAATGGGAATCTTTCCTCTGACTTCAGTGGGCTTTGGATCCAGAGATGACAACATTGTACCTTGAGGAATTTTCTTCTTAAAAAGCATGAATCCATTCTGCTTTCATTTTTTTTGTTTTGGTTTTCTTTATTGGGTGTGTAGAAAGTTACTCTGAAATGAGAGTGAGGAGGGAAGATAAAAGCTGGAAAAATAGTCCATTCTGACTCTTTTTTGTTTGTTTGAGATTTGAGAACACAGGGGAGCAACAGCTCGAAAGCACCTATTTCTTAGGAGTGGATTCAGCCTGGCTCTCACAGACATAGTCTTTGTGGAAAGGAGGTGAAGAATATCTCCTGGCCCCTGTATAGTTGCACATCTTGCCTGTGATACAGGCTTTTTCCTTTTGGCATCTCAGAAGATGGGCAGAGGGGAGGGTCAATGAACAGGAGGCAGTAAGATGCACTCATCAAGAGATGTGTAGCGATAGGTGCTCTCACTGTCCACCAATCCCTCTAAGTTGCACCAGAATGGTAGGGACCTAACCCATTACAAGTTTTGTGCTTGCCATTCTTTTCCTTGTGCCTGAGCCCATTCCATTGCTCTATCAGTCTGATTTGACACACATAATCTTGCCAGCGTCCCCCTCTCACGCTTTCTTTCACTCTCTCATGCACGCATGCGAACCTTCCCCCCCATTGTCCTCATCAAGATCCTGTCTTCTTTATTGCATTGCTCTCAAGTATAATTCAATCTTGCATCTTTTGAAGTTCCTAACACTGAGGAAAATGTGATGAGATGCATCAAATGCATTGGGCAGGCAAGGTTCGTTAAGTAGATGCGATATCTTTTATTAGACCAACTGAGTGCCCCCCAAGCACAAAACTTGTGAGTACTCAGTTGGTCTAATAAAAGATATCCCATCTTCTCAAAGAACCTTGCCTGCCTATGTCCTTAGACCAACACAGCTACAACCAAAAACTCAGTTAAATGCATCAGGGCAGTCATCCAACCCACATCGCCCCCCCCGCTTTTTTTTTTTTTAAACAAAATGAACAGTTTATTTAAAAATAAATTCCTTAAACTACGGGTGTCAAAAAATGGACCATGGACCAGATCGAGTCCATGGATTGTGTTATTTGGCCTGTGGAGCTAGAAATTTGGTGGTGGGACAAGTGGTGGCTGCTATGGCTCTGGGCACCACAGCAATTAATGCTGCTGCTACTTATTCTATCCCCAGATTTCTGGCCTTGTAGCCAGCCTGTGGATCAGCTCCATACTCCAGATCCAGCCCATGGGGATCCCTGTGCTACTTATCTGGCCTGTAGGCCTGGATGAGTAACGTCTCTGCCTTAAAAAATCGGATTGAGTATGTTCTGTAGGATGTCCAGCCATAGGGACTGGACTTCAGGCACAGTGTGTAAATTGAAGCGTATGCGTAAATACTTGCAGGACAAAGGCCCAAGATAAGATGCTGATTGAGACAAAATAATATAATTAATTTTCTTAAATCATGAATTGGCCTAAAATTCTGTTTTGATTCTGTCATTACTGCTGGTAAATCACTTAAAACGTACAATGTGCTGTAATGTATATGCAGTGTGGGTGCCTCACTACTTAGGACTTCTTTCCAGAAATCCCACTTACATAGAATTCTCAGTAAAGTTTTCTTTCTTTTTTTTTTTTTTTTCATGCCACATAAACTATTGTGACAGCCTTACATATTGGCCATTTAAAAGGCCAATTTTGTTTCAGGAGTTTTTCTGTATGAACAATTTCTGTAAGATAACTTTTACTCAGATATTTAAGAATCCAGACAAAGTAAATATTTTACACTGGGCAGGATAAGCCACTGGTTTTAACATTTGCACGTTGATTTCCTAGCAACCCTTCAGTTTCAGTCAAAGATGTATGATTTATTTCTGGATGCGTGTGTGCGTATGTGTGTGTGTGTGTGTGCATGTATACCTAACTCAAAAGACTATTCAAATATCAGAATGTATATTTTTCAGTAGTTTAAGGACTCCCCCTCCAAAGATATTTTTGATTAAAGCATGAAAATATAAGTGTGTTTTGCTGACCCTATGTGAAAAGGGAAAACCCACCCCCACAGCTTTCTCAAGTTATAGAAGACATAATCTAATATATATCCTTTTTAATTTTGTTAATAACATATGGCATTTCACAAATCAGGTTTAAGGGAGTAAAAAGGAATAATTCCTACTGGGTTGGTTTGCAGTGGTAGGTGTATCATACTGTCCCATATAGGCTTGCAAAGAAATGTATTAACCCCCCACCAGAACTTAAACTTGTTATTTAGAAATCAGGTACTATTTTGAAGCTCTTAACTGTTATGAAATAAAGTGTGATTCTTTGTGCCTGGCTGTACCACAGTGTCATTGTTGTTAAGCATAACCCTGCATACATAGCATACAGTGATGCATATGTTTGTGTATAGGGGGCATTTGTCTATCTTTTACCTATAAGCACAAAGAAGTGTGCTCTGCCTCCACTAGCCAAGAAACAATTCTGCCTGCAATAAGAGCATGTAACATGTAGGTTCTTTTTCACACTAGCGTATTCTTTGAGCACGTGCCAAAATAATATCTTTTTGTTACGTTTTATTTGTAGTGCAAATATGTGCTTTACTTGCCCTGTCAATTGCTCAATAGTAAATAATACTCTGTGTGTTTGCGTGTGTGTACATGCTATTGATAGACCTAATATTTACCTGTAAGAGAGCTGATTCAACATTTAAAGCTTACAGGGGCAAATCATGACCTTGGCATAGAGCTGTGGCTTGGCGCTCTCCATTGTGTGAGAACAGAAATTCCTCTGAGCAGGTGCTGAGCTCCTGCACAGGTGTGTAACCTCATCCTGGCTCTAGAGGAAAGCATCTTTATCTCTGACCCTCAACTGACTGTAATTCAGGGATGATGCCCCAGAGGATTTCCTGCCTGGTGTTCCACTACAAGAGGAATAGAGTCTGTAGTGAGGGAGTTGGCAATAGCTTATTGGCATGGATGTGCCCGAGGTAACTTCTTAAAGCTATTTGGTGTATAGGCCCTTGTTCATATTTGGGGCTTATTGAGCCTATGTGCTTTTGTATCTCTAATTTTTAATGGCACAAGGCCAGTACACATACTTTTCTCTACAGAAGGCTAGCCATCTCAGCATCAGTTAGATCAATGTAGAGCCAGTGTATGTGGAGGGCAAAGGCTTTATGTGTCCTTTTACACCTAGGGCCCAAGGAGATGGCCTATAATTCTTACCAAAGCACAATGGTAGAATCCAGTATATGAAACATAATGGCAGAAATGATGAACTTGCGCCAAATTCTTACTCGTACTACTGTCCACATTTTTGAATGGGAATGTCTCAACTGGACACACCAATAAATCCTGTAGCTGGAGTGGCTAGTCATGTTACTACTTAGATACCCAGTTTTTCATTTTATGCCCCCCAAGTGCCCACTTGGGCATGCAGATGTATTCTGATAAGCGTCAGCACTTGAAAACATTGAGAGGTTATTTTCTGCATTCTTTGTGAAACCTTTCTGACTGTAAAACTAGTAAAGGGCCACACCTAAATGCCAGTGTAAGAAGGTAGTTCTGGCAATTTTGAAAGACCTACAAACTGGTGTTGCAGCAGCCTCTGGGAGTTTGGGTAAACTGGACAGAACCTCCAAACACTTAAAATAAGGGGCCATGGAAATTCTGCCTATTAGAAATGCTTGTGTTTGCAAAAACAGCCATTTTTCAGTATTGCTCCAAATATATTGCCCTGAAACCAAAGGGGAATTTCAAAGCCAGCTAAAAATGAAAGAACCTATATAATCTCATAAAAGATTTGGAATGGTCTTGGATTTTGGATTGGTTCTTTTGTTCAAACCAGTTTCTATTTTCCTGGTTATGTGATTTAAGTGGAGTCTTGCTATAACAAAGCAGTTTGGTTAAAAATAAGTAGAATAATTGTACCGGTGCATTTACTGGGTATTACTAAAAGCCAGTTCGAAATATTCTAAAGCCATTCTGAAATGGCTAATAGACTGTAACATCTTGTGAATATATTTGGGTAATTGTATCCAGGATTCTATGATTATCAAAAGAAAGTATCTTAATGTTAGGCTTATAAATTCCTATTTAAGTACTCAAATTATTGTCCTGATTTTGAAATGTATTAAGCAGCTGGCTTATTCAACTAAAAGCAGTCAGCTGATGATTTTTTTTTATATGTTTGTATACAAGCATCTCTTAAGCTCTTTAGTTACTGTAAAGTATATGGCATTTGAAGGAAGCAGTTTTCATTGTACTTTTAATCTTCTAAAAAATGTATAGTGAAAAGTTTTAAAGCTGTTCACCAGTGGCTACTCACCAATGGTGAACTGAGCCAGTGGTCTTCAGTTATGATGTATATTCAAGATTTAGTTGCCTTTTACAGTATTTAGCAAATGCCACAGAACTTGAATAAAGTTTCATTCATGTTAATTAAAAATTCAGCTTTGAAAAAATATATTTATGGGCCTCCCATAACTCTCCATTTTAATTAGGAGTGGCTCTATGGAGGGTACAAAAGAAAAAAGAATAAAGGAAGAATCTCTCCCTACATGATGGTGCATTATTTTAGGTTCCAGTTTACATTAGTTGAGTTTGTGTTTGAACTTGCTCAAGTGCTATTTTAAATAAAGCAAGTTAAAAAATGTGAAATAGTTCAGCTTGGGCTCTGCTAAATATAGCTGGTGTTAATTCAGATGTTAATTACAGCTTTTTATTTTTCTGTGGTAAATTATTCTTGCTAGATATATACACATTTTTAAAGTGGTTAAATTACAAAATTAGAGCTCCTGTAAAAGAACCTGAACTTGTTGACAAAACTATTTCTGCTAGCAATGTATTACATGAGATGACAAAGTAAAAGACAACTGCAAAAATTACAATATGTAACATGAGAACACGTGTTTTATCTTTGGTGGGCTCAGAATAACTTAGCTTCAGTAGACAGCTACAGCAGACCGTATTTTCCCCATAATGTTGATTGTATAAATTAGTTGGTTTGTCTTTTAATGCTGCATATTAGAGGGATATAGTTAATGTTGGGTAAATGGGTCGAGGTGTATCTTTGCCAAGTTTTAAATTTTAATAGTGTCAAAAAATTAAGTATCAAAGCAAAAATGATATATATTTATACAGAAGAATATTTTTTGAATTCAGTTTCAGGGTTTTTTCAGCTGTGAACATTTATTTATCCATATTATGCTTTGCTCTTTCACTACACTTTTTATTCGTATCATCTTGTTCCCGAATATACAGTTGATTTGGCTTATATTTTGTCTCATATTTACACATGTGGAGAAGTGCTTGCTGTCAGGACGTGCCCACTTAACGTAGCAAGTGTAGAAGAACTGCTTGACTTTGTGATTACTGCTGTAGGTACTCAATGTCAGAGCCATGTTTGTGATGTGGAGATGGGTCTCGTTCTAGTCTTCCCTGGGGCACTGTGTAGCATGATAAATGGTTTAAATAAATCTTACCATTTCTTGATCCTGCTCGGTTATGTCCTTCATCTTGGTCCAGAAAACCAGGAAGCTGCTGTGAGCATATAATTCTTTTATACTTAGTGTTTGTTTAGTATTGGAAACATTGCAAACGTTAACATTCATCTGTATTAGCATACTGCATTCACTGTGAAATTTTCAATGTGGTAAAAAAAAACAACCCTAAAAGATCATTTAACCTTACAAGTTTACTTCTTTCTTACTAATTTATCACATTTATATATATATATGTATATTTCTGCATTATTGCAAATGAACAACTTGAGCATGGTGTTTCTTAATTTTGACTGTAGTGACCAGACACAGCAGTAGCAGAGTTGTTTAACCTCTTGAGGAAGGGAATCAGGCATTATTCATTGGAAAATGCACTGACTGACATCCTGGCCCAAATGAAAATCAGTGGAAAAGTTCTCATTTGCTTCAGTAGCATGAGGATGGCTTCAAGAACAACCCACCAGGGCTAAGAGAGGTTAATCCACTTAATAACTGTAAGAAAGGTGATGGGGGAGCACAACAGTGATTCTGTTCCCAGATCTTAATTTCTTTTAATTTACTACTATTCACTCTTTTAAATAAATAAAAGAAACTTGAAAGGGAATTGTATACGACTAGTTTGTACTAGGTCTTTTCAGGAAAAGGAAATATATACACGCGCGCGCAAACATATACAGACACACACATACAGTAAAAGCTTTGCTATCCAGCATGAGTGGGGTAAGGAGGGTGCTGGTTATCTAAAAATGTGGGTTATTGGAATTAATGTGGTGGCAGCACGGGGTGGTGGATGGCAGCGGCCATGTGCAAACTCCTCCCCCTTCTCCCCCTGCACCTGTGCGGCTCGCGGAGGGCAGCCCTCCGGCCCTGCTAAAGAAATACTTCATGCGCATGCTGGATAGTAGAGTATTCCAGTTAGTAAAATGCCGATTAACACAGCTTTTACTGTATGTATGTATATATGTGTGTGTGTGTGTATGTATATGTGTCTGTGTTGTGTGTCTATATATATATATAGACATGCACACACACTATATATATATATATAATACATATAGACACACGCAATATATTTTTACACTGTTTATTAATGCTAGGAAGTATTAAATGTATCACTTTATCAGTGTGAATGTTAAAGTAATGACAATGTTATGGATGTTTAAACCTTTTTAAATTGTCTTGATAATTTCTAAAGTTACATTAACCGTGGGCAAGCTACTTTTCTCCGGTAAACAAAGTTATTCTTGATATTTAGGAAGAAAAGCTCAAGTATGGCAGTTGTCTGATTAGCGCTGTTAAAGCTTGGCTTGAAAACTCTTAGTCAAATCCATATTGCAAACACCATTGTTTCTTAAGAGCATAGCTTCTCATAATGTTTGTTACTGCTGTTGATTGTATCAAATTGTATCTTAAGTTGGTAAAGTGATCAATAAACATGTTAATACCTAAATCTCCTGGTTTCTTAAACTATATTATACTTGCCCTTGAGTTAAACTTTCTGTTGCTAGGAATTATTTTGCAGTTTAGATGTTAATAATAATGTCAATCAAGACATTTCCTTTCAGGCAGTTTCCCTATTTAAACAATGAGGTAATTCTGTTTACCTAACAGAAGTGATGCCAGGATTAAGAGCTAAACTGTCTTATGACACCAGGACTTCTTCATGAACATTTCAGAATTGTGGGAACAGGAAAATGAACCTCAGAGAAAATACAAGTTTCCATTCGGATACTGGCATTACATACGCTGCTCCTTGATATCTGAAGCATGAGCTGTTGCCCTCTTATTGACTGGAAGTGGGATCAAAATAAATGCTTTGATCACAGGAAGAGTATTTACTAGAAGAGGGTTTTATAATAGTAAATGTAATCCATTTTGAAGAAGCAAACATGCTTTTGCCTGATGGAGGGCATAGGCTTTGGGGAAACTGCTGATCCTGCCTGTGCTGAATGGTACATTTCCGATGGGGCCTTGCCCTTGAAGAATTCTGATCGCTTAATGTTGCAACAGCGTTTGGTGAGTTAATTTAAACAAAGGGAGCAGACTGCACTCAATAACCTACTCAGAGGGCACATCTACACATGCGTTTTAATGCACAGTAGCCTATTCTACTGCGCATTAAAGCAGCATGTAAAAAATCATTCTAACACATTAATGCACAGTAGAATTAGGCTACTGTGCATTAATCGTCACTAAAAAAGCATGTGCTTGTGCTACTGCGTATCAGTGCAGCCTAATGTGTATTTATTTAGTACCTCAACATGGAGGTACTAACTTTTAATATGCATTAGTAAAACTGCATTAATGCACATGTAGACACAGCTAGTCTCCTTATTTACAAATATCCATATTTCTCAGCTTCCTGCTAACATTTTTTCAGTGTATGGTAAGTAGTGATAGAATGAAATTATTTCCTCAGAACTTACAACATTTGTATTATATGCTAATATTAATACCATCACAATAGCATAATGTTGTGCCTGTTTTAGAGTTGTGGATGTGCTTTACTGGAAGCTGTACATGAGCTGTCTTTCACCATAAATGCTAGCATCAAATGGTGATTGGATATGCCAAAAAAGCAATTAGTGCAGTTTTTGAAGCAATCTGCTTCATAAACCCACTGTTGGAAATGTCTTAGGCTAGGGATGGCAACCTACACAGCCACTGGATCCGGCCCGTGGAGCTGGCAGGTTTCTGTGGTGGTCTGGAGACGGGGGTTTGCCTGAGCCATGGCCAGGGGACAGAGAGCTTTCTTTGTGTCACAGTGGAAAGAAGAAGTGGAGGAAATTGTAGTGGTGGCTGGATCCTAGTGCTCTGGGTCTGTATGCCAAATTCCAGTTTCTAGTTGCATTGGGCATTGGTCGCTCCCAGGCTGGCCACACAATATCCTTGCTACTCTGTGGTTGGATGGAAGGACAGAGAGAGAATGAGGGAGCAGAGCTAGCTTCAAGTGTGCAGGAGCTAGCTCTCAACTCAAACTCCCCAGCAACAGACCTAAATTGGTATAAGGTTGAGAACCCAGCTCCCTATCTAGCCTTCAATTTGTCACTTAACCAGATTCCCATTTAGTTCAAGTGGATTTTTGCCTTTGCAAACCTTGCAAGATCTCCACTAGGCCACTGGGGCATAGCAAAAGACTGCTTAGTCCTGTCCTGAAACATGTTCATCAGAATATGATTTGCTGAAGTCTGAAGTCCCCAAAAACCAAAGTCCCTTTGGAAACCAAAGCCGTTTGGCTAAGTGAAACTGCAGGATCTTGTGAGAATTAACCATAGTTTCTCACATACAGCATGTGTTAAAATGTAATACACATCTTGTTTTTGAAAGACAGGATGAAAAAAGCAAGATCTTTCCTCAGCTAGGGATCAAAACATGCTCTTTGTTTTGGTCCTTGTGGATCACTGCAGATTTTACTTTTGGTTTCACCCATATGTGGCAGAACCTGCTCTTACCATGTACTGCAGGTTCCAGTTTCCAGCAGCTGGTTTCTGGGGGAAAGGTGTGTTGTATGCAAGAAAATATGGTATATATGATGCACAATGGAAAGCCATGCCAAACTTAACAATACAGGTATTAGGTATAGTAAAGCTTAAAAAAGAGCAGCTTGTTATGCAGTACCAACACTTCCAAGCTAATGAAACAATATTGCCATTTGGATAATTGAGGATGTGCAATATTTTAAGTGGTTGTTATAGCTGCACTATATCAATGTCTCAAACTCACCAAAGCACTTTAATTTAACACGTGAGTTTAAGACCCATTGAGCTTGACTACGTGTGTAAGCGCTTTTGTTAGATCATGACCTGCCTGTGAGGTTAAAGTACGTTTGATGGCAGTCCCCCCAAAATGTGTGATAGATGCAGAACTGAATTCCCTTTCATTCCTGTATTCCTCCCCCTCACCCCATATTTAAAGCGTATCACAAGACAGAAAAACAAGATTTATTAAAATCTCACAAAACTCTCCACCTTCCTGTCTGCTCATTTGTTTTTACTTATCTTGTGCAAAATTCGGATTTATAAACTTTGCCAACCTCCCATCTCCCTAAAACTCCAGAGGCTACAATGTTGTTTAAACAGAGTTAAATGAATGCAAAAATATGCATTCCCCAAAAATATTCATTCCCACAAGTATCATTCCCCAGTCTTTATTATCCTGCATGCATTAATCAGTGCAGCCTGCCACTGCAGCTGTTGTTCCACAAACCACATTGGTGTCCATGGTTTCAAAATCATGAACACATACGTGGAGGCTGGACTGACTCCCCTGAGAAAAGCAGGCCCTTTGCCTTGGGCCTGAACTTTGCTCGTTGTACAGTCTTTAGATTACCTCACACTGTGTGTATGTGTGGGGAACAATCAAAGATAATTTATCAGGCTGCATACTAAAGAACTAAAAGGCTGAGATCTTCCAAGTCGTATGTCGGAGTAGAAGGGCCCAAAACCCAGGCAATTTCCACTGAGACTTAGGAACCAAGTCCTTTATACCCATTGGAAATTCCAATGTAAAACCCACATCGAAAGTGCCATTATGTAGAGTTGAATAAGCCTGCATAGAAACAAGTATCTTGCTCCAATTTTGTTTTGTCACGACTTTATTGTCTTCCAGCCTGCTGGAGAGCTACTGGGTAAGTGGCTCCACCTTTGAGGAACTCAAGTCTTGATTCTTGAGGCTGAGGTATGAATCCACTCCCTTCCCCCCACACACACACTTTCTTGTAGTTAAAAATCTCCGGGAGTTAAATATACATATGGAAAAGAGAAAAAAAGGAAGACCAGAATCATCTGTCTAAAAGGGCAGGAGAATAGAATATAGCCAAAGGAGAAAAGCAGACTATGCCAAGCAGAATTAGGCAGAAGGTAGGGCAGGGTGGCACTTTGGAGACTAACTAGTTCACAAACTTTTGTGGGCAATGACTTATTTCATTAGATGCTAACAAAGCTGGTCACACACTGGAAACTTAAGGACTCAATGATAAGTGGGGACCCGGCT